GCTCAAAAGGTCAAAGGTCGTAGGGGGTTCTTTGTCACATTGATCATGGCTAGGGCAGCCCCTTGACATGAACGGGCTGCCCTAGCATGGCACGTTTGTGACAAACATACAGTAAATTAACGCGACATGCAATGTGTGAATGTGTGGTTAGGGTGGAGTGATTCACCCACCCATGTGAAGCAACGTGCATGTCTAAAGGAATGACAAAAGTCCACATTTGAATACATTTCTATACTTGGTATAAACGTGCGCGCACATACGCCTGATGCCGAGCCGATTTTCTGTTTCTTTTGGCTTGCTGCAAATTTTTGAAACTGATAATCACAGCTTGCGTTCTTCAAGCGGATCTCATGAACCCGGGATTAGATTTCAGCTAGCGTCCCTCTCCCACTGTCATAGGAGTGTGGGGGGTAAGAGGGGGGGAACTCTTTTTCACACCCTGCTGATAAAGATAACTCTTCCCCGCTCTGATGTGATGGAGAGGAGCGATTTCCAATGATACCTGAGCTGAGCTAAGGCTGTGCTTATCGTAGCGGCGGGAGCGATACACCCCGCGATTTTCAATTTAAAAAAACACACAACCTGCCATGTCACCTGACTGGCGCGTAACTGGCACTGCCTGTAGGATAATCTACCTGAGCAATGTGTTACTCTGCTAGTAAAAATGGTTGCTTCAAACGTTAGAGCCTATTTACACATGCACAGACCGTACGGCGCAAGTGCGTTATGTTGAATGGATGATAGAAAAATGTACATGACCCTTTTTTATGAATGCAGCGCACCACAACACCTATATAGGTGTATATGAATAGTGGTGCGCTGTGTTCTACGTTGGGCTCTACTGTAAAATGAGTGGGGGTGCCATTCACAATGAATGACACGGCAACGCAACCCACACAGAGCACGCGTGTTGGCATGCATTCATTGTTAATGGCACCCAAAAGTGCACCAAGCAAGGCATGTATTTTGCACTCATAAAGATTTGCGATAGACCCTTGGTGAAAAAACATGTGCAGCTCGAAGCTCATAGAGGTGCATGGGCTTCTTTGCCACTGGTAGGGCAGCCCATTGGAATAAACAGGCTGCCCTATGGGAAACGCACGAAAAGCGTCCAAAAATGTGCATAAGCAGAGCAGACACAAAGCTGAAGCTGCATGAGTGAACTTCCTGTTTGCTTCTATGGAGTCCAACCTTATATTCTGCTATCAGTTGCGCGCCTGTTGGGTCTTTTCAACCAGAGCGATATTGGGAAACGCGGCAACCTTTGGGAGTGTTTAGACTGAATTTGATGGTCTTACAGGGTCCTTCCATATATCACATAAAAACAACATAATAACATCATAACACATGGGGACTAAAGTATAAAGAGTTTGCAGAGCAAATGGCTGTGCAAATGAAATGCAGTGCTCTGTATTTCCACTAGATGGAGCAGAGGAGAACAGGATTTTCCTCTGCTCTCCAGCTCCATCTAGTGGCCATACAGCACTGCAAATCTTCTCGCTGTGCGAATGCTTTACAAATCAGCCCCATAAAATCAATTCCTCATATGTTGGGAAATAATATCAAAGGGGAATGGAGATGGACCTTTTATACAATATATGGTCAGTATATACACCTGCTTTAATATGGGTCCATCGATATTTTTGGAGACATGGAGCAGGGCCTTTCATACATTGGCACATCCAACAGCACGAACCTAGAAAAATAGGACACCACCTTTTTTTAGGATCACCCTAAATTAGCTATGATTATAGAGCCACACCTACCTGATGCCATGGTGTCCTTTGTGCAATGCTGCCCTTAAAGGCATAATATAAAAAGCAGCTTTTGTTATATCTGCCTTCAGTACAGAGCTGTCCCCCGCAGTACATCTTTATCGCCACTAGATGTCCTACCCCTGGTCATGTGACAATACGAGCACCATCACAGAGGAGCAGGTCACATGCCCGCCCATACTCTGTATTCTCGCCAATTGTGGAGGAGGAGAAGTATAAGGGGGTGTTAGGGGGTAAGAAGGGTCCTGCGCAGAAACAATATTACCCATCCCTGCATGGAAAAGGTGTCTGTGTCTCTTTAAAACAGACTAGAGTCCCCCTTTAAATCTCTGACATTTTTGCAGGAAGCTGCGTGGAAATTTGCAATGGCCACCAATCTCTGTCTGGACGTTAGAGATATTTATTTATCATGTCTGTGCCCAGAGTGAATTTATTATCACACTGAGACATTAATCTGGACTCTGATGGACTCAGTGGAGACGTCTTACTTGAGCTCGAGCGTGTCAACCTCCAATTAAACAAAGTGCCAAATTTAAGTGGAAGAAGACGGCGACATTTGTTCTAATGAGGGATGGACCGCGCAACTGAAAAATCGGCCATTCCTTCCATGGGGGGTCGAATATTGACCCTTGAATATTTATCAAAAACATTTTTTTAAGGCAAACTTTTTTTTTTGAAGCAAAACTGCAGCCACAAATGTCAAGATAAAAAACATATAGTCCGTAAAGACATAACATAACAAAGCAGCTGCCTTCAACCTAGAGATGTCCCTCCCCTGCAGTTCTCCTTTGTGGCCACTAGATGTCCTTAGTCTGCCCACCAGCATCATTCAATTTCCTTTGAGCCCGGAATGCCATTGACCCACCCAGCCTGTGACTGCACAGTGAAAGTGCAGGAGAACAAGGATGAGCTTATCGCTCTGTCACTGTGCCAATGGGGAGGAAATCAATGGGGACAAAATCAATGGGGAATCAATATGGCAACCTGGAGGCATTCTGTAGACCATTGGTGTATAGAATGGGGACGAAACCAATGGGGATGAAATCAATGCGGAATCCATGGAGAGGAAATCAATGGGAAGGAAATCAATGGGGACAAAGTCAATGGGGAATCAATATGGCAACCTGGAGGCATTCTGTAGACCATTGGTGTATAGAATGGGGACGAAACCAATGGGGATGAAATCAATGCGGAATCCATGGGGACGATAGCAATGGGGAGGAAATCAATGGGGAATCAATATGGCAACCTGGAGACATTCTGTAGACCATTGGTGTATAGGATGGGGACGAAACCAATGGGGATGAAATCAATGGGCAATCAATGGCACAAAATAAATAATTTGTGAGTCTGATGAAGGGAACCCTGCACGGCCCCGAAACGTTGCGCTTGATTGAGTGACATTATGTGTCAATAAATATACTTTTTTTTACATTGTATTTCGGTGTGCTGGTGACGTTACAATAAAGTCCATTACTTGTTAAATGCGCACAAACACACAGAAAAAACACACGGGGAGCCTGTAGCAGAATCTGCTACGTGAGCTACTTTCCCCCGTTTGTTGCACATGCCGCACAAAATCAATGGGAATCAAATCAATGGGGAGTCAATTGGGACAAAATCAATGGGAGGGAATCAATGGCGACGAAAGCAATGGGGAGTGAATCAATGGGGAGGGAATCAATGGGGATGAAATCAATGGGGACGAAAGCAATGGGGAATCGATGGGGGCGAAAGCAATGGGAGGGAATCAATGGGGACGAAAGCAACGGGGAGGGAATCAATAGGGGTTAAATCAATGGGGATGAAATCAATGCGGAATCAATGGGGACGAAAGCAATGGAGAGGGAATCAATGGGGACGAAAGCAATGGAGAGGGAATCAATGGGGACGAAAGCAATGGGGAGGGAATCAATGCGGAATCAATGGGGATGAAAACATTGGGGAATCAATGGGGACGAAAGCAATGGGGAGGGAATCAATGGGGATGAAATCAACGGCGAATCAATATGGCAACCTGGAGACATTCTGTAGACCGTGGGTGTATAGAATGGGGACGAAAGCAATGGGGAATAAATGACACAAAATCAATGGGGACGTGCAGAAAACGCAGTAAAAAAAGTGCACGAACATGTGCGAGCATGCACAGATGCGTGCGAATGTGACGCGCGTTCCCGGTATGTCTAGGTGTAAACAGGGACTTAAAGTAGGAAACAATTGTTAGTTGCTATCAGATCATAGAAAATATTGTTTCCTTAAAATGAATCAGGTCATCACGTTTAGAATCGGCAGCCGAAAGCGTGGTGACGATGGGCAGAGTGTATTAACCCGTAGCAACCAACCAGAGCCCACCCCATTCACACGTGCACGTCTTGGCACGTTTGGCGCGCAGCAGCATAGGACAGCCATTAATTTCAATGGGCTGCCCTATGTGCAAAAAAAAGCTCATGCAGAAGTTTGATCTGCAAGCTTTACGCATTTTTCACATGTGTTTTTTGACCATGCGTATTTGTGCATTCTCCATGTGCTAATGCGCATGTCAATATATACTGATATCTCATATTTATATTATATTGGTTTATATTATAGTGATATTGTATTGAGTTGACTTATATTGAACTTTATTTCCTTTTTTGTTGTTTTAAAAGTTTCCTATTTTTTGCAGAAAATAAAAACTTGTAACATAATTGAGTTGACTTATAGTGATAGTATATTGATTTATCTTATATGAATATTATATTGTATTGATATTATATTGCTTTCTGTTATAGTAATATTCTATTGAGTTGACTTATAGTGATAGTATATTGATTTATCTTATATGAAAATTATATTATATTGATAATTTATTGATTTATCTCATACTGATATTATATTGATTTATCTCATACTGATATTATATTGATTTGTCTCATACTGATATTATATTGATTTGTCTCTTACTGATATTATTTTCAGTTGACTTGCACTGAACTTTATTTCCTGCAGCCTTGTCATTGCACATCTCCTGCGCTGACGCTGAGCATGGCTCTCCCTGGCTGGGAAGGGGTTAAAGCCCCATGCCCTCCCCCTCCTGACACCCACATGGGACTAGTAAACAGTCACCTCCCTCCCTCCATAGCCTCCCTCTGTTATAGGCCTGTCTCCCAGGGGCTCCTCCCCTCCCTTTGCATCTCATTAGCATACATTAGTGGCAGGGCAGGTGCAGAGGAAGGCAGAGAGAGGGAGAGAAGACAGCAGCCTAGGAAGGGAGCACTTGAATCACCATGGCTTGTGGACAGACACTACTACAAAGCTGCTTTGTCCTGGGGATCATACTGCTCAGCTCTGCAGGAACAGGTGAGCCCTGACACCCCAACATACCTCCTCTTGGATTTATTACCCTTCCTGCAGGCTGCAGAGAGCTGCTTGGCTCAGTGCGATGTCTCGCACAGACACCTGCATAGCCCCTGCTAGCAGGGAAGGGGTTAAACCGTCTCATGCATGGAATGGCAGCGCAGCCTGCTTCGGTTTAACCTCTCGAGTGCTGGGGTCAGGCTGTCGTGCACCAGCTGGCGGGTCAGCCCGGCGCAGAGGGGGTTAAGATGTTAAATGTCAACGCGTTGCAATGCTCTGCACAGGGTTTAGGCATGCTGATGCAAAGGGCATTCACAAGGAGGGTCTGAATAAGGATGCTGCTGATGCTGCAGAAGGGTTTTTGGAACAAAGAGATGTGTGTTTAAGGGGCAGCATCGATTGCACCCCCCTCCATCATCA